GCTTATTTCAAACCCGCATCTGAGACCACCTGCGCCCACGCAGCATGGGGGGGGGGTGTACGGTGCGCAACGGTGTGTCTTCTGAATAAACGAAAATGATTTAACATAGTTATTTATACTTTTAGCAGCTCTTTTTATTCCACAGCTGACCTGCTAAAAATGACAGATTTTCTTTTCTGGATCTCTGACTTAGCATCATTTCACATTTCTTAGGGATGAATGAATAAATTCACTGCACTTAATCTTCCCTAAAACAAGTGTGTAAATAGATTAAACATCACTCTACAAACAAGAGCAAAAATAAATAGTAAGAATCAGTCAGTTAACTATTAAAACCTTCTACATTCTGAGCATCATGTGGAGATTAGCCTCTCTCTCCTGCAGGGAGCAGTTTTTATCACTGCTCTCTCGTCATGTCGCGTTCATATTCCAAAATAAAAACATGCYCTCTTCCTTTCTTCTGTCCATCAAGAGATAATCCACGGGCAACATTCTGCTGATGTCAAAACTGTAAAAAGCGTTTTTTTACWTTTTAGGGGAAGCTGAGCTTCCCTTGCAGTCTTAGAGCAATCGCCTCTGGTACACTCACTTCTGCTGGATCAAAGTTTTACCAAGACCTAAGGCCCATCCCCACCCTAATTCATATTGGCTAGTAGACCTTTCTAGTGTGGTTTGAGAGCAAAAGTTGCATCTCATCCAGAGAAATGTCTTAAATTTTGGCTAATTCGAAGTTTGGCCTTCTTTCAATGTGGCGATGCCCCGAGGGCGTCTTGAGGCGTTGCCACATTGAAAGAAGGCGTTTGAAAACTGAAAAGGGCATCCAAARGATGCCACAATGTCACATCTATGCTGGCTTGTTTTCATGACTTTGTCGTGTTTGTAGCCCAGACATGAGACTAGTGTGGTCAGTCCTGCTTCAAATTCTCAACATGTGCACATACCCCACATCATGGACATGCTACCACTGCTGTGACCACACCACTCCCAACACCCTGAATTGCTGTTGCCACAATGATAAACCACTGTGACTTTGCATAGAAATTTCCTGCAAGCTCAAACCCCTCCACAACTTATCATACGCCTTGATCATAACGTAGAGCCCAGTGAAATTTGAATATGTGCCTGAAGATCTTGCCAAGACCCTTCATAGACCATCCACATTGTAGTCAGTTTGTCACACAGGGAAGGGTCTTAACCTGTTAACATGTGGGCCTAACCCTAACCCTACCCCTAACTCAAGTTAAATTAAGTATTGCTCTTGAAACTTGTGGAGTAAATTCACAAGCCTATAGTCTCTGTAAAGCTATCAATCTGAATTTTCAACTTCAGCAGTCGTAATTTGTGTAACTGTTACTAGTATTTAGAATAGAATAGAATAGAAATAGCCTTTATTGTCCCACCGAGGGGGAATTCAGGTGTCACAGCAGCATCAGTACAGAGTTTCACACACTAGTTACTTTACAAACTATAGTGCACACAAAACAAAAATTAACACTGAGTAGCCATGATACAACTATTAATAATAAAAATATGAAGAATTGTGCCAGAATAGAAAACGGCATGTTTTGTTTTAGAGACAGTAGACATCAGAATCCGACATTAGGAATCAGAAATTGCCTGTTTTCAGTGCAGAACAATCTCAATAGWCCAATAACTGTAAAGTGGAGTATCACAATGCAGACAATGCAACTGTTTAGTTATTTAAATTAAAATACACTATAACTATTAACTTTTTTTATTTCCAAAACTGCATGTTGAATAAAAGGCAACTTGATTGGCTACACAGCTGTGTTGTCAGAATGAAGCTCAGAGCTGATTGGCTAGTTCTAGTCGATCAATCACATGTACCATGGACAGGTAGGACATGAGGGGCTTGCCACACATTTAGGGCTCTGGAGAGCCTWTAGATGAACCCAGTTGYTCAAAAGAGGTGTCAATCAAAAGAAGACAACCAATCGAATTGTTTGAACAGCCTATTATACAAATTCAAAAGTCCCTGATAGCGAGGGTCAGGCTATAAAGAGGGAGGAAGTAACCACAAACTGGGAATGTACTGCAGGCAGTACATTGGTGGTTAAGGGGTTAAACTGATCAGAGACCYGGAGTAAAATAAAAATGAGTGTAAGCACAACTAATGTTACAAACAACTTGGATATATCTTCAACAAAAGAAATAAAACAACAAATTATTTCTCATAATGGCTTAAAATCGACAAGTCAGGCTCCTTGCAAACATAAACAGAAATGAGAGGTTTGGTAGCAGAAACCACATCTCCCAGGGACCTAGATCGTTTAGCCAAAATTATATTTAAATGTAATATCCATCCTCATCACAGCTATGTTTTCCTAGTATTTTTAAGTGTGTAGGTTTATAGTATTTTCCTTCGCAGTCTTTCATCATCCTGTTCTTTCCACACTACTTATTCTGTGTGTCAGTGGTGGTCATTTTTTATGTCTCTGTCCACATGTGAGGAGAATGTTAATATGCCACCTGTGATCTATTTGACTAGTTTCCTGAATGCTTGCCTCTGTCTTTTTTTATAGGAACTTTCAGAATAATGTGGTCCGACATGTGCCGAAGCACAGCCGGGTCGAGGAGGTCATGCACCTGGCCGTGGTAGCATGTGGGAATCGTCTGGACGAAACCCTCACCATGGTTAAATCTGCATTGCTGTTCAGCCAGAAGAAGATAAAGTTTCACATTTTCGCTGAAGACGCCTTGGCGCCACAGTTCAAAGAAAAGGTAAGACAGCTTTATTGTGAAATTCCCCAGCATATGTTTGTAACATGTGTGCTCCACATAGCTTAAATCCATCACCCACCCCCAATTTTTCATTTCATAATGCATTTCCAGCTAAATGTAATAGACAAAACAAATGAATACTTTATATTCTGTGGCAAATGTTAAAAAGTAAAGCAAACCCGTAAATTTCAAATTGTTTCAGAAAACAGCCMTTCATTGGTAATTTTTCCCTTTTTTGGGGTGCGATGTTATGTCAGGGTCCAGATCCGTCCAGGCAGCCAGATTTCTATTGCACACAGTCAGTTTTTTTTTTCTAATTTCTGGCAAGAATAGTTGTAGCAGGAACAACAGGCCCAATCAGTGTGTTGCACAGTTCTGTGGGAATAAATCCAAAGAGGAAGTTAGGACCCATTCTTTCTAGAAAACCAAGGAAATTTGGGAGAAATGAGTGAAGTTTGTTAAAGTCAAACAGACAAACTTCCTAGCACTGTCGCTGAACATTGTTCTGTGCTCCAAACACTTTCCACACCTAAGGATTACATTATTACGAGTCTTCTACTTTCTTACCTGTCATCTGAATCTGTTTTTCTCCTCCATCTCTACCTTTTGAGCTTCTCTCTTCTTTCTGAGAAGGTTCTGACTGCACTGCACCGTCCATCTCATTACTACCTCCTTCTCCTGCGGCGTTTCTTATTGCTCCAAAACTTCCATGTCTTTTTCTTCTTCCTGTAGGGTTCTCAGTCAGAAAGGAGATGGTGTTGTGCTTGCTAGTTTGGCAGAGGTTTATAGCTGTGGGTTCAATTAGTTAGCCAGTCCCCAGCATGGCGTCATCAGCCTTTTGGCAATCGTCGGCTATGTGATTGGGTATTTTCACAAGTTTTTTTTTTTACTTTTAAACTTTTTTATTTACATTTGCGACGCCAGAATGCAAAAATATATAAAAAAAAAAACGTACAGCCATAATATTCTATGATAGTGAGTACCCCTTAAAACCACTTGGGACTATAATGGAGGGTGTTGAACTTAACGGGGAGTTCACACCAGCGCTGTTTAGTCCACTTTAATCGAACTCTGGTTCATTTTGCCTAGAAAGTCTGGTTTGTTTGGGGAGGTGTGAACGCGTAATCAAACTCTGATGTGGACCAAAAACAAAAACGAAATCTGATCTGCCTAAAAACCTGGGTCTCGGTTCAGTTAAGTTGATCTCTGGTGCTGTTCGYCTCCATGTGTGAATGCCAAGCAGACTGTAACGGAGGGCATTCTGAGTAATTGTAATAAAGTTACTCAAATACTTTGCTTGACGAGGTGGACATCGCTGCTATGAAGTTGGATTCACTCGTATCACTACACGCCATCTCATACAGAGCAGTCTGAGGTGCCAAAACGACGTTCTCCACGGTTCTGCCTCATTGTTGAAGAGTTTGACACATTTACCAAAAACAATTTGACGTCACTCCATGTTTGTTTACATTTCGTGAAGAAGGACGTTGCGCTCGGTGTCTTCTTCAGAGATTTTTGTGTCGTTTCGTTCAGTGGTTCTCGGTGCAGCGCCACCACAGGCGAGGGAGGGAACAGGTTGCTCAAAGGTTTTGGTTTGTTTGGTACAGTGCAGTTTGAATGTGAACCGCAGCTGAAAATGTAAACAAATGTTYCAGTTTTGGTCCCCAATCGAACCTAGTCTACTGGACTATCYTGTAAAAATATCTTTTTTTTCCATTTGTTGATCAATTAAAAAAAGCCAATTTTACTAATTTAATCCTGAAGTCAGGAAAATCTACCCCCACACCCTTTCCCATGTTTCTAAAGATTAAAGCTGTTTCAAATTTGACTCATGTTTACCTGCTCTTTTATCTCAAGACTGAGGTGTAATATATCATCACCTAAACATCTGTTTTGTTTTTTTACACTGTGGATTGCTTCAAAGTCACCTTTACAGAGATAACTTTAGTGTGTGTGTGTGTGTGTGTGTTAGATGTATAACTGACTCATTTAATCAGACACAACATTTAGTATCTTAAATCTAAATCTTCAGCTTGTAAGACTGTTTTCATGTGCGAAGATAATCATTTTCTCTAAGCAAACATTAACTTAGAAAGCTTTCTTTCTMTACTGGACTTCTACAAAACCCATCCTCCAGTTGGAAGCATGCATTTGTACAAATAAAACCTACATGAATAATGATAGTTTTTCTCCTTAATAAGCCAGAACATAGCTCCTTAATATGGTGCAGTTTTACGTTTAAATTAAATAAATCAAATTTGATTTATTTAATTTAAACGTAAAATTGCACCATATTACAGGGCAGTTAAAAAACTGCAGACGTGCCCACCATAATATGTGAAAACAGACCCAATAACCCAAATCTAAACACTGCTTTACTGTTAGATGTGTTTTTTTTTATTGAAACTACATGGCAAATAGAGCTCTATAATAAAACAATCAAACTAATGAATCTTTATTTACATTTTTCAGCTTGCTTTAAAAGTTTACACAGAAAAGTGGATTTATATAAATCACCTCTCAGACCTAAAAGAAACAATATTTTTGCTCTAAAATGCAGTATCAGAGTAGTATCATAGTAGTAGTATCARAGTAACTAAGCATATTTGCTTTGTTACAGTGTAGTTTCTTTGAGGAATTGTAATTTTACCAATTATGTTTTTAAACAGCTACTTTTACTTTGATTTTGTTACATTTTAAAGCTAAAATAAATACTTTTACTTCTTTACTTTAAAACGTAACACCTAGTTACTTGTTACAAAATTAAAAATGTTGGAACTCATCATGAAAGAAGATGTTTCTGCACTCTAAATAATAGTGTTGAATTTACTCAACAAAGTCATGTCAGCTGGCTCCACTAAGCCTAGTTGAGTAAACTGAGCAAAGAATATGCGTATATTGCTCAATTTACTCAACCTGACTTAGTGGAACCAGTTTGGTTCAGTAAATTCAAAAGTTTATTTTTTTGAGAGTGTGTAAAAGTACTTTTTACTTTCTCAATTTTTCTGAACTGTTTTATAACTTTTATTTGAGTAGTTTTCTCATCAGTGAAATTTATTTTTARCAAAGTCATTTTCTGTTCATTTAATTTTACTTTTACTTAATAATTTTTTTTCAAGTACTTTATAGACCTCTGTGCAGTATTAACGGGATTCATTCAAACACGATTTTGGGAACTCGAACAAAGAGTCAACATGCAGAGTACAGTAGATGTCTGTGCGTCACTTGTTGGAGCTTTCTTTAGTCATACAATGACTACTTGGTCTTGTGTAACGTGAGGTTGGCTGTGCTTCAACATAACATGACAAGTTCTACTGTGGCACCAAAGTGTGAAACATCGAGCACAAGCTCACACAGCCACTGAATGTGGACTCAAATCCTTCACAATCAAATCCGATTTATCCATAAAGCACACTCGAAAGCAACTGCCTTGAGCCAAAGTGCTCTACATAAAATAATCATGAATAACAACATAACCACAGGAGACCATAAAAGCAAACGGCTAAATAAGACCACTCTAAAAGACTTGTAAAACCCATAAAATAAGTTGTAAATACGGTTCTGTAATAAAATTAGGAATGGGTAAAAGTTGCGATGAACTTTGTAAGGATTTGGAAACTGTCGTTTCTTGCTCGTACTCCTCTGTTGGCAGCGGCTACAACCAGATATTTTTCTTCTCCCTCCTTTGGTTGGAAACTTGTACAAAACGTTCACACAGTGTGGCTCTTTTCAACCTGATTTTCCTTTTTAGACACTGGCTTCCAGAGCAGAAGGAGCTGTTTCCTTATTCTGGCTCTGGTGTGTGCACGCCACAAACGGTTTATGTTCTGAAATTCCACATTTTGCATTGTTGTCAAACATGATATTAACATTAAATGATTTTTAATCCATTTTGTYCTTCCATCTGAAACACAGATAATACAGCTACTTTGAGTCTTCTTTATGCAATAAAAAAACTATCAATTGATGATGATATATTTGTAGACAAGGAAACATGCTGAATTGTGATCGARGCCTGGCTGTGGTACATATACAAACCAGAAATAAAATCACATTATTGAGTTTTGGATTGTCCAGTCATTGGTCAAGTTTATAATTGATCTATTCTGGTCACCAGCTGATTGATTGTTGCATCACCTGCTGAACATGATTCTGTTCCTTAGGTTAGCTTTAGTAGTCAAGATGATTASACTTCATTGCACTAAATATCTATCATACAAATTGGTAAAAGGGAAWATAATTCAGCTGACCCTTTTCCTCACTTGCTGCCTCAATGGAAGTCTGTTTATATCTTAAATATGTTTTTTCTTCCAGCTGAACCAGTGGCCTCACTTCATGTCTACCAGGTTCCAGTACAGGATCTACCCCATCTCCTTCTCTGTGGGCGACGCTGACGAGTGGAAGAAGCTCTTCAAGCCCTGTGCTGCTCAGAGACTCTTTCTCCCGGTCAGACTTCTGCATTTATTTAGCCTCAAACCCTCTTCATGTGTAAATTCATGAACCAAATTAAAGGAAAAGGGCTTTAAATCCATTAGATTTATATATAAGCATCAAGAAGTTTATGGCGATTATAGTGCATGACTATAAATAATTACTTGCATCGTTTCAGACCTTTTCCGCAGCACTTACTTAGAAGGAATGGAYGCCTCAGGAGACTAAAACCAATCATTTTATTAAGTGAAGCTTGTGCTTGCTTATRGATTTCCTTTTCAGGCCAGTGTTCATTGAAACAACAGCCAGCTTTCTTGCTATGGATCGGACATAATGCTGGTGCAACAGATCCATAGTGTCTTCCCCTCACTGCAGAGCAATCAGCAGGCATTCAGTTTTCACGTTATTAAAGAAAACTCACTGAACAGCTGGTGAGAGCATSTACTATGTTCTGAATGACCTGAGGCTGAATCATTTTTCATGTAGTTTTACACAATTAGCAAAATCATAACTTTGCAATTGTGCCATCTGCACCTCTTTTAGGCTAAATAGACAGCATAATTATCCCCTGCCACCTGAAATGGGCCTCCACAGCTAATTGACCTTAGAAAACACAAAAATGTCTATTACTCCGCTGATTTGACAGATAAGCTAAAATTTGGTCTACTAGTAGGTGACAGCTATTCATAACACATTCATAACAACAGACAGCCAGGTACTTTGATACATGAAGGTGTTATAGACGGAGGCGGGCATATTGGGGAAAAGAGGGGGGGTTCCTCTATGGGACTGCACTTCTCACATAAAAAAAACATCCAAAGAAAAAATATTTCATTTTTCTGACTMTAAGAGCGAGAAGGGAGAAATGTTAAGAGACCAGACGTGCTTGTTGTGTCTTTCTGCCCTCTGCAGACCTCCGAGTTCTGCTCCTCATTTAAAAGAATCACTCGTAGTTTGATTCAAAACACACTAAAACTGTCTGAACTGAAGACTAAACACTCTAAACCAGTGGTTCCCAACCTTTTTAGACTTGTGTACTCCCTGAGCCATTGTGTCATACCACTAGTGCCCCCTCTGTCAACCGTAATGATGATTCTCCAAAACTATAATGTATAACAACCGATTATTAAATGAAAATTATTTATTTAACCCTCTAGAAGTTTAATTCTCAGGCATTTTATTCTTTTCAACTCAAATTAAACATAAAGATAAATACATTGCCTTAAAAGTGAATAAGTAATTAGACCAGGTAATGGCAGGTGCAGGAAGCAGCAACGTCCAAAATACAAATTCCGTGAGATTCCGCGTTTTATACAGGATACCATTTTGTGTCAACTTCGTGATTTCATTTGCATCTTCCGCATTGTGGAAATCATAGGGCCCTACATATCTCAGTCCTATTTTTATTAATTTTTTACACACCTGGGATATTTTTCCATGTACCCCCTGTAATATGCTCGCATACCCCTAGGGGTACACATACCCCTGTTTGGGAATCACTGATCTAAGCTACACTCTTAACTACAGGGTGTATCAGAAAAAATGATACTCTCAGAAAAATCACCATAAAATTAACATAGATAATAATTTTGAAAATGTGGGCGTAACCTTTGGTAGAGGGGATCATTCTGCTTCGATTGACACCAAAATCTTAGCTAACGCTTGACGCTCCAGTGAGCAGGGACAGTTGGAAATTCACAAATTCATGTCTTTTGTGCAAGGAAGTGTGAATTAAATGTAGGGTTTGAGACGTTAYTGTGTCTTATTTTGTGGGGGAAAGTAGTTTTGTACCAGGGTTGAGTTGACTGGTGCTCGGCGGCTGAGTCATCTTGTTAAGTTTTATTAAATAACATAAAATGATAGATCCAATAATTATGTGTTCAACCCTCCTCCTTCACGTCTGTACCAAAATGTATGACTACTGTCTACAACCAGGCAGAGAGGAAAAGATGCGTAGAGGAGGGAAACAGCAACACAGAGAGAGAAACCATAAAAGAAAAAAGTCAAGAAATACAGTAGTTCCTGTGATGCAGAAAGGGTAATTCAGCTGACCACGGTTTGCTGATCAATAAGCAATGTTTGTAAATTTTATCATCAGCTGAGCTGTGATGAAAGCCGTGAAAATAAAAATACCATCAAATACTGTGATATCAGGATAATTGTTGCAAATACTGTGATATAATATAATTTGGGTCATACCGCCCAGCTCTACAAACACTGAAGCCATACAAAGCTGCTGTGTTAGTACTATACTGACATGAACTGTACCCCCAGGTTATCCTGAAAGACGTGGATTCGTTACTATATGTGGACACAGATGTGCTGTTCTTGCGACCCATGGACGACATCTGGGTGTTCCTGAAGGCCTTCAACAGCACCCAGCTGGCAGCAATGGCCCCGGAGCACGAGGTGCCAAAAATCGGCTGGTACAGCCGCTTCGCCCGGCACCCGTTCTACGGAGACACGGGGGTCAACTCGGGCGTCATGCTGATGAATCTCACAAGGATCCGRAGCACGCTGTTTAAGGTGAGCTCCGACTGCAGCCCGTATTTACCCACCCTCTGATTAGTCGGAGGCTAAAGTGGGCTGCGGTACCTTCTTTGCATTTTCAAGTATTTTTTTTTTCTTTGAGCTCCAGTCAAAGGCTGAGGGCTCCAAGTGCCTGTGATTGAAGCTTTTGAGATTACCATGCCGACATCGCAGACTTGTTGCCTCAGAGCTCATTTTAGCAGCTTTCACTGGCTGCAGATTACAAATGGAAAGTGGAGTGTAAATGTGTACCTCCTTTGATGATGCATTTAAGGCTTCTGTTGAGCTTTTTTCTTGTTGTTTTTTTTGCTGCTTATTACAGAATAGCATGATTCTCAGCGGTCTGTCATGGGAGGATCTTCTCCATCCACTTTACCAGAAATACAAGAACCACATAACCTGGGGSGACCAGGACCTGCTCAACATCATTTTCCACTACAACCCAGGTGCAATGCCTTTTTTTACTGGTTTCTTCATGCCGCCAGCAGTGATGGTGGAAAATAAAGTCTTCACCACAGTTGCCAATTCTGCCGTGTTTTAAACCAGTTCTCATCATGACTCAGTATCCAGCTGCAGGCAGTGGCAGCAGCCGGCGTTCCAGCTGCAGCAGCCAAATGRGGCTGTTAAGAGCTCATAGCCACTGGCATGATCTCTGAGACAACTGAGCTGAAATGAGCAAAGAAAATGTTAGTTTTAATTGCCGAGGCTTTGAACTCTCTACTGCCTCTAGAGAATTTTCCAGTTAGCCCATGAAACAAAAATCCATCTGTTTATCGTCCTCTGCCAAAGGAGATATTGTGTTTGCCTCTGTGTTTATGTTTGTCTATAGCTTTGGTAATACTTCTCACAAACCAGTGGATGAAATGCTGGATCCAAAGCAGCTTATTTTAAGACATTATAAAGACATTATTACTGAGCTAATCACATCAAATGTACATCACCCACCAGGTCACCGGGCTAAAAACTTACTGGATTTATTCCTTGTAGTGACGCTTAATTCGCTCACTCCCACCACATAATTACTTAGCCCCCCCACCTTCCACAGCCTGGCTTTATGATAGATGGCACAGCTGGAGGTTTTCGGAATAGCGCATTAAAACGGCCTCAGATGTGTACACTAAACAAATATGTAATTGTATGACATTAAATCACAACAGATCGATATGTTAAACTGTTCAAAAATCCGCTTTTTACCGTCCGTATTATAC